ATGTCAGTCCATTCAGGTGAATACTGGCCGGACCGAAACCGGCCTGAGCAGTATTATCCGTTGGGAGACTTCAACTATAACACAGAAAATGATCCTGGAGCTGCGCTTTCTCCAGGGATGGAGAGAACGCCGATGATGGTCATCCCCGCCCAAGTGAGAACGCCTCATCAGCCACTAGACGTTCTACAGAATTGTGTTGACGGTGGAGGTAGCGATGGGTACCACAGCTCCACACCCGATGACCTGACCTCCGAGTGCTCGCCTAGATCAGAACTAACAGGTCCCGGGTTGTCAGGAAGTCGTCGCACCAAAGATTTGGTATCTGAAGCTTACCCCAATTTAGAATATTACCAAGCAGCATACCCAGCAACAACTGATCTCAGCAGTCTAACACCAGCTTACTCTTGTGCAGGCACTAACTCCACGCAAGTTGGCAGCTGGGGTGCCACACAGTTCAGTCCCTCTGAAAGGGACTGTAATCCTCACCAGGAGCACTTCATTCCTCATGAAACGACCCCGTCGCTTGTAACGCACTATAAGCCTCTAAGAATTAGGAGAAGACCACCAAAAGTCGTTGGTAACGAAGTTCTCCGTAAGAGAAGATTGGCAGCCAACGCTAGGGAACGACGGCGAATGAATGGATTGAACGACGCATTTGAGAAGCTCCGAGAGGTTGTACCAGCTCTTGGCAACGACAGGAAGCTCTCCAAATTCGAGACGCTACAAATGGCACAGACTTACATCACCGCCCTGGTCGAGCTGATACGACGAGCGGACTCTGAGAGCGATGCTTCTTCCGCTTGATGCCGGAACAACGGCTTAAGCAAACCCGGATAAATAGTCAGTAACGGTGCGATTAAAATGCTCTCAAAGCTTGGTGAAAGTTCAAATGTATAGATTATATTTTTATAAGCACATGCGTGGAGAGTAATGATTATTGTGTACAGTTGTAAACACTCCGTTTATCTGGAAAACGTGTATGTTTCTGCAGTTTTCCCTACCAGGACCTAAGATCTTACCCACCGATAATCTTGGTAAGGTTATTGCTCTCTTTCTACTCTTAACTTCATGTCAGATAATAGTATTACGTTGAATTAAGTAACGAATCCTATGTGCATGAACAAGTGTAATTACTATGTAGAAAGATTTAATTAATATAACACAATGTACATATATACCAATTAAGATAATCTAGTTATATTAATTTATTGCTGATTTATAAAGTTATCTCTATTACTGAACAGTTTAAAATAGATGGAATTAAATATATCGCCGAATTCTTGTGTTAATGTGATATAAGGCTGTAATTTATTTCCTTCAAATACAGATGTATATATGATAACAATATAAGTATGTATGTAAGTTACTGCAAAAATTTATTTCAAAATTATATGATTCACATTACATCGATGATTTCATTTCTGTCCTTGTTTGAAAGTCTTACATTTTCTCAGAGATAACACAAAAAATTACATACTAGCCTGAGTGGCGAGTGACTAAGTTTTTCTAACAAATAAGATATATAATGAGGCAAGAGATAAAATTACACATACCAGTGGAAGAATACCTTTTTACCTATTTAATTTTTATTTAATTTAAAATTTATATAATATTTGTATTACCTAAATGAAGTATCTAAATAAAATATACATATACGGTATAACAATGTTTATTGTAAGAAGGCAAAGATACATATAGAGGTTTACCCCGCTTCTCTGGGTATATCTACTAAGAGCTTGCTTTAGTCCTGGACTATATTCAGAACGAAAGTATTCTTCCTGGTTGTCATTAAGAACTTGTGTAGCCTTAGTAACCCTCCAGAGGTTGGTATGCCTAAAGCCCGCCGACAAACCAAACGTTTAGTGTAAGAAAAGAGTGAGATGTTTATCTTTGTGAGTATAACTCGGGAAATCAAGAGACCGACTCTACGATATAACCATGTTGGAAAGAACGAGCAGCTAGTGGGAGGTGTCGTGTGTAGAAGCTGTGTCAGCGTCCATTGCCAGAAAATGATTCAGAGCCTTTATTTACAATAAATAATACAAAATGTAACATTTCTGATTGGACTGAACAGGTGTACATGCAGTGCAAGTCAAACTTTATTAAGTTCTAGATAAATTATTAAACAATTAGTTTAGAATTTTAAGTGTTAGCAATAGTAAGTGAAATTGTAGTAGAATTAGTTTTATGAAATAATTACTAAATACGGCTAAGTTAACTAAATTAAAAAAACAAGTGTTTGCAATGTACAAAAACTAAGCGATACAATATAAAAGACAGGAGAAATATCAAATATCTCAGTTTAGGGACGAAAATCTATATGATCATTTAAGGGTTCGTTTCCCGGCGGAGGCAGAAACAAATGGGCCGAGTTTCTTTCACCCTGATGCACCTGTTAATTTAGCACTTCATAGGTACCTGGTAGTTAGACAGCTGCTACGGGCTGCTTCATAGGGATGTGTCTGTGTTAGAGACATATGTAGTAAATATAACAGACGAAAAGTAAATTGGCTAGAAAGACGGGGTTCAAGAGCTCATAGCTTCATTCTGCAACACAAACAGTAAATTTACACACAAACACACGTGAGGCCAGTCCTAGAGTATGCCGCCCCATCATGGAGTCCCCCACCTGAAGAAACACATAAGGAAACTGGAAATGGTTCTGAAGTTTGCAACGAGAAACTTCCCAACGTTACGAGGTATGGGGTATGAAGACCGACTGATGGAACTGAGTCTTACGACACTATAAAAAAGAAGGGAGAGGGTGGGATATGATGGGAACGTATAAAATACTCGGGGGAATGACAATGTAGGCATAGACGCAATGTTCACGAGGAATAGTAACAGAACGAGGGGACACGGGTGGGTTAAGCTGGAAACTCCGATGAGTCAGAGATGTTAGGAAGTTTTCTTTTAGCGTGAGAGTAGAGGAAAAATGAAATGCACTTAGGGCGCAGGTGGTGGATGCAAATTCAATTCATAATTTTAAAACTAGGTACGATAGGTAAATAGGACCGGCGTCATTGCTGTAAACCACCGATGGCTCGAAAGGCGGGATCCAAGAGTCAATGCTCGATCCTCCAGAAACAAATAGGCGAGTACACACAAAACACACACGCACAAACGCGCGCACACACTAAGAACACACAAATCTCTCAGAACTAACACACACAAATCCCAATTGCGTGATGCATCAAATGAACAAATCCACAAGGGCGGTGACGAGGATTCGAACCTGCGTCCAAGAGCATCCCAGACGCTGCCTTAATCGACTGAGCTACGACATGGTAAATAGGAGTTGAAACCGAAGTTCTACTGAACTTACTGGATCCTGCAGCCTCTCAGAGGCACAAACCATTAAGTTCAGTAGAACTTCGGTTTCAACTCCTTTTACCATGTCGTAGCTCAGTCGATTAAGGCAGCATCTGGAATGCTCTTGGGCGCAGGTTCGAATCCTCATCACAGCCCTTGTGGATTTGTTCTCCCAGAACTAAGAGGCATGAGTTACGAGAAAAGGCTGTGGGAAATGCACCTTACGACACTGGAAGACAGAAGAGTAAGGGAAGACATGATCACTACCTAAAAAATCCTCAGCGGAATTGACAGGGTAGACAAGGATAAACTATTGAACACTGGTGGTACGCGAACAAGGGGACACAGATGGAAACTGAGTACCCAAATGAGCCACAGGGACGTTAGAAAGAACTTTTTCAGTGTCAGAGAAGTTAACAGATGGAATGCATTAGGCAGTGATGTAATGGAGGCTGACATCATACACAGTTTTAAATGTAGATATGATAAAGCCCAGTAGGCTCAGGAATCTGAACACCAGTAGATTGATGGTTGAGAGGCGGGACCAAAGAGCCAAAGCTCAACCCCTGCAAGAACAAATAGGCAAGTACAAATAGGTGAGTATACACACACACACACACACACACACACCCCACACACACACACACACACCCCACACACACACACACACACACCCCACACACACACACCCACACACACACACACACACACACACACACACACACACACACACACACACACACACACACACACACACACACATGTCTACTCAACACCACGCATCAGGTCGGGTATGTGTGTTGAGATAATGTAGTCAAACAGGACTGAAAAGCACGTAAAGAGTGAACATTGCGCCTCATTTCCATGCCAAAGAGAGAGCCTTCACGTGGCTGACAACATTTACCTTCCCACAGAGAGCCTTCACGTGGCTGACAACATTTACCTTCCCACAGAGAGCCTTCACGTGGCTGACAACATTTACCTTCCCACAGAGAGCCTTCACGTGGCTGACAACATTTAACAAAGCAGCTCTCACCAGACGCACGTAACAAATAATTACCAATCAGCATGCGGGTAATTTTCCCTCGGTCAACCACGAGCCAGCTTGCTGGTGGAGGCGGGACTAATTTAGAGGCAGAATACATCATTAAGTGTATAATGTATATATCATAATGTATACACTCGGAGTCACCAATCATTCCCTAAAACTTTTCTGGCAATGTATCATTATGTTGTGTGTGTGTGTGTGACTGAGAGGTCTTTCTATATTATTCTAACAGAGTAAAACTGAATATTTACTCTGTCTTTCAAAAGTATTATTCAGAAACTGGAGGAAAACTGAAAATATTTTGGGGATGATTTGTGTATCACTAATAATTTGTCCTCTAATCCATTTAATTAAATACAATAAAGTTGTCTGCGAACATCAAACAACTTTGTTGGTTTAGGTGACATATCTACAAAAAATTACTTGGTTGTTTACTTTACCTCCCATCTCTGTTCAACGGGAGTACTTGGAAAGTCACTTCGCATGCTTACATATATTTCCCCCCTTTTTTTACCTAAAATGACCGGCAGGTGGCAGAAGAAGACCCCCAAGTAACAGGACGCTGGCGGGGCTTCCCACCCACCCTCACTCCAGCACCAACAACCAACACTTTGATTTGCAAGCACCGTACGCCAATATCATCATGAAAACCACAAGTGTGCGATGAAAGCAACTTCTCCTTCGGGTCCACGTATTTTTATATATATGTGTGTTTTCTCCTTTCACAATTTAAATAATCTGCTGGACAGGGTGCTAATATTTGCTAATGCTAATTATGGTCAACAGCTTTCCAATGTGCGAATGAGGTTTCCTAGCTTTCAAGTCAATAATTTATCGATGGACGAGTAAGATTTCTTCATCAAAGATCTTTAAAAGAAAAATATGTACATCTATTGTGGTGTCATTCTGGTATCAATATAGCTTTCTTGTCAGTGGGATGAAACTAAAATTTGTATCATAGATAACTCTCAGAGTTTTGATTACGCTGTAGTACATCAAGTGCAGTGTTGCACCGCTGGCGTCCTCTGACTGCAACTGTGACGACCAAAAATGTCTGAGACTTATCAAATAAAGAGGTGCTTCAAGGTATTGCAAGACATCAAGCTAAAAAAAACTTCTAAATTTGAAGCGCAACAATTCAGGGCGGACGACTAAAACATAATATTAGCAGACTCGATCACGTTTCGTTCAACAAAATTCTTACTTTTAAAAAAAGTAAGGATTTATAGGGGCAAAATGTATTGTTAAAAGTAAGGATTTTGTTGAACGAAACGTGATCGAGTCTGCTCTGATCAAACATTGTAACAACAGCCTTAATGTGAGCCCGGGTATGTACAAGTTGGTTCCCTATTTAAGCCTCAATATAGCACGTCAAAACAATATAGCAATCATTTAACACGTATGGCACTTGGAGATATTAATAGGAGCTGCCTCGTATGGGCCAATAGGCCTTCTGCAGTTACATTCTTTCTTATAATTCTTTTCCTCCACTTATTTTTGGTGGTCAGGTGATCTGCCCAAGCGGAAATAAAGGTCTGATCAGCAATGTTTTCTTATCTTCATTCTACTTTGCTCTGATGAAGGCGAATTAGCCGAAAACGCGTTAAGCATTTTCTATTTTTCACATGTGGTTATTCTGCATATATATATATATATATATATATATATATATATATATATATATATATATATATATATATATAT